GAAGGAAGGAAGGAAGGAAGGAAGGAAGGAAGGAAGGAAGGAAGGAAAAGAGAAAGAGTAAAAGAGAAAGAGAAAGGAAAAGAGAAAGAGAGGGAGGGAAGGAGAGAGGGAGCACACGATTGAATGTCCATGCCTTGACAATGCTAAACTACATGCACACTCGCATGGCCGGCATTCCCCAGGAATGTCCTAGGCAGACTGGCACAGGTGGTCACCCGACTTAGAGGTCATCCCATCACTGAGAAGTTGAAGTGTTTTGACACAGCTTACGTGGTTGGTTTGTGGCCAGGTGAGAGACATACCCTGGTTTTCTTGATTTCTATTCCAGTGTCCTTCCCCATATTTTGCACTGCCTGCCCTAACATGCATCTCTTTTTCAACAGCTCTCCAGTCACTATACCATAGCATCACCATCTATGCTCCTTAAACTCTCTGCCCAATACTTTCATCTCCAACCATCATAGTCACTCCTTGACCACTGTCTCCCGAAGCCCTGTGTACAGAGTCCCATTTAATGCCTAAAAAGAAGAGCCCTTTAGTAGCTCCTTTCTGCATTGATTGATCCATTGAATAAGCTAATGGAAAGGGGAGTGTCAAAGATGGATAAGACACACTCCTAACCCTTATGGAACTCAGAGTCTTGTGTAAAAACATATCTTCATACAGACCATAGAAGGCTTCCTGGAAGAGGTGAGTTGATGGTGTGAGACAGGCAAAGACTGGGGGACGTGAGAGACTGAAGCCCACGGTGGGGAGGAACAACGTCAATGTGTGAAGCAAACGAGTCATTTGGTGGCTCTGCTGGAGCACACATTTAGACAATGGAGATCAAAAGCCACGGCAGGGACTGGTTCAGAGAGCCCCTCGTGTGTCATTCCAAGAGTTTGGACTTTCATCTGTAAACTGAGGAAGGCTTTAAGTGTTTTAAGCAGAATAAGACATGGGAAAATGTGCTCACATAGATAGCTCTGTTTAGTTTTAGGCAATTTAAAATGTTCACTGCAACTGGGTCGTTAAGTGGTCTAATTTCTCCTTTAATTCTTACTAGACCATTTGTGATTATGATCTGTTTAGAACTTAACCTATTTATGATCCTATTCTGACGCTATATAGGACTTTTGGCCCAGTCTTTTCTTTAAGGATTTAAAAATCTAGACGGAGGAGAGGAATGCCTTGCCACCTGTGTGTGTGTCTGTCACTGACAGGAATGTTCGCATGTGCACGTGTGTGGGTCCACATGTTGATAGTAGCCTATTTGCTCATTGGGACCTAAATGTAGTGAAAAAATTGGATGTAGCTCTTAACCAATGAAGGTTATTTAAAAGAGCTTTGTGCTGAAAATAATATTAAATTTGGTGAAAATTTTTTTAATTCAACGGACGTCTTAAAGTCACTGTAGAGTAACAACTTAGAAGTTAATCATTATTGAATTCAATACAATTGTTAAAAAAGTTATTGTTCTGTAAGCTCTGAATAATCACATTTTTCTCTGCAAATTTCCAATGGATTAGTTTCTTCCCTTTTTTTATATAGATTTTGGGGGAAGGCATCAAAAACCTTACCAAGAGCTTCAAGGAGCCAAACTAGTTAGAATTAGATGTCAACACATCTGAAATGTCAACACATTTTTTTTTCTCCGCTCTGGATAATTTCCTGTGATTTGGAATCCTAATTTTGGGAGTAAATTTTAGTATTCTGTGTCTTAAGTGTTTGCTTTCAAGGATAGTGCCTTTGAGATTTCCCCAACCAGTTACATTCTCCAAGAGTAGAAAACATATGAAAAAGCCAAGTGGCATGCTTATTTCTCCAGGGTCTCATTTTCCTCTCAGAAATATACGCTCTTATGAAACTGTCATGGTTTTTTTTTTGTTGTTGTTGTTGGTTTGTTTTGTTGTTGTTGTTGTTGTTGTTGCGTACATGGGCTTGTGTTTTCACACCAGTTCATAGATTGAGCAGAAGATGCCACTTGTGCCGTTTCTATTTTGATAGAACAGAACATGTGGGCGTGTGATGTGGGGGACTGTATGTTGATCTTGCTTCCTCATATACAAAATCAGGTTATGCTTCCTGCACTTCCCTTTGGGGAGGGAAAAATCATGATTATTTTGCAACCTGACTTTTTGATGGTTACTTTTCTAGCAAAATAATATTCTGGGGTGGGGTGGTGGGAGAAGCAAGGAGGAGAATAAAATCTTCCATTTTAAAATCATCTGAGTTAAGGTTTTTTTGGTTTTTTGTTTGTTTGTTTGTTGTTGTTTTTAAGAAGCAACATGGTTCCAGCTACCTATTATTAGAAAGCTTAGCTTGCTGACATATTCACTTTGCCCAAGACCCTGTTTAAATGAGAATTCCCATCTCAAGTATAGGATATGATTTTATCTGGTAAAATTTTACTAAGGGTTGAGAAGCAACCTAATGGCAGAAGGATGGGAGAGCATCTGGGAAGGCACTGCTGATGCTGGAAGAACAGAGGGTCATCTGGATCCCTATCCTTCAAAAAAGGAAACCTTGACATGTAACAGCTTGTATCCCTCAGTCCCTCACTTACGGGAGGAAGAACCTGAGTTCATTTTTTTTTCGTGCTGGGGATGATGACACCTTGCTCTCTGGGTCCTGAGCTCACTAAACAAGATTATTTTTAGCCTTGAAATTAAATGAGGTGTCGTTTGGGGGAGGAGGGGAGATAATTTGATGGGATCCTTTGAGAAAATTCAAACTTCCCCCAGGCTTTCGCTTTGCCTACTTTGGTAGGACCTGTCTGAATCCTTTGAACAAAGGCGTTAAGCTTCACTGCCTTCTGCTCTTGGACTCGTTCCCCCTGTTTCCAGGAGGAGTGGAGAAAGTGTAAGGAAGGTATGTTTCTGTAAGTGAAAGAGAAATAAACTGACCCCATTTCCAGTGGTTGAGCTTCTCTCCAAGTAGATAGATGCTGGCATTAAAGATGTAGCTGAGAGAGAAGAAGGCTGTTAGACCCACCGGGCTGAGTTTGGCAAACACAGGATACACCCACGTACCCGTCTCAGAGTAGATCCATAGGACCCTGCAGAAAATGACAAGTCATAACAATTAGGATGGCGGGGGTGTCTTGGTGGTGGAGCCATTTTATCCTCGAGATCAATGGGGTTTTGGAGCCCAGGCAGATGAAAAGAAGCCATGGGGATCGTTTGTCAACAGCTGAGGTGTTCCACAAACCTACAGAAGTGATTCTTTTCTGGATAAATAGATTTGATTCAAAGAGACATCCTATTTCATAAGCTGGGCTTGGCTATTTTACCTAATCCATTAAAATTCAATGTTGGCGAAAGAATATGGGAGAACATCAAACACATCATCAGCCAAAGAGAGTATGTGAGGACATGAATTATTCCTTTCCCTGAGAGGTATGACCTGCTGAGACATTGAACCTGCTAAGATGGCATCATTCGCTGGCTCTCAGCCAGACAAGTGGGGTTTGCTTTTCTGTACCTAAGAGTCAGGTGTAGCTTTTCATTAGCCCTCCGAGTCTATTGGGGTAGGAGGGACAGAGACTGGGCATTACTGCTTTATTACAATATGCCTCTTAGACGTAGGAGGGGTTTAACTGTCGGCCCTGATTTCAGCTCATGAATATAGCTGTGGATAAAGTGTTCAGTAGGAAAGGATGGATTTACAGGAGGCTTAGATCTTGCTCATGTGAGGATAGAATAGAAGTCATTTCTGGAAGCCAAGAGAAGGAAAAGAAATGCTAGGAGAGGAGCCATGATGTCTAAGCAAAGCCTGCAAATGCAGCATGCTGGAAACCAACTGCACTGGAAGATGCCAAAATCTGAAATAACTTTTAAAATTAAATATGGGGAAGATGATGTATCAACTAAGTTTATAATTGGTTAGGAGGACAGAATCTGGAACCAGCCTTCTGTGATACAAATCCTAGTTCTGCCACCTACTAGCTATGTTACCTTCAGCAGTTTATTTAGCCCTTCTGTCCCCTGCCTTCATGTGAAAAGTGGGGGGTGCAAACAGCATACATATTATAAAGCTGTCGTCAAGATTAAGGGAGTTAACACATGTAAGGGGCGCCTGGGTGGCTCAGTCGTTGGGCGTCTGCCTTCAGCTCGGGTCGTGGTCTCGGGGTCCTGGGATCGCGCCCCGCGTCGGGCTCCCTGCTCGGCGGGAAGCCTGCTTCTCCCTCTCCCACTCCCCCTGCTTGTGTTCCCTCTCTCGCTGTGTCTGTCAAATAAATAAATAAAATCTTAAAAAAAAAAAAAAGATTAAGGGAGTTAACACATGTAAAATAAAGTAATGCCTGGCCCATTGTGATCATTTAATAAAAGAGTTCTAAAGCTTCTCTCTTCTTAGGGATGGCACAGAGGGTCCTAGCAACCTTTCTTTGAGGCTCCTTATCTCATGTAACAATTGGGATAGGCTAGGTCATGCTTCAGAAACAACATTCAAATTTGGATACCTCGGGGTATCAGAAGAGTTCAGAAGGAAGAATAAAATTCTGAGCCTAATTAAACTTTCAGAAATCCAAGTGTACTCTTGGTTGTTTCAAATACTTTAGATTTGTCAAATGCTCGTGGAAGAGGCAAGGACTAGTATGAGGGTCAGGACTGGAGTGAAGCAAGAGAGGCACCAACGGTATGAAGTTTAAGAGGCCAACTCTATATCAAAGGACAGAATCAGTAAATTGAAAAGGAAACCTATGTAATGGGAAAAAATATTTTCCAATCATATACCTGGTAGAGGATTAATATCCGTAATATACAAAGAACTCCTCCAACTCAACAACAGCAAGTAAAAAACCCAACAACCCAATTAAAAATGGACAAGAGACTCAATAGACATCTTTCCAAAGAAGATAAACAAATGGCCAACATACACATGAAAAGATACTCAACATCACTTATTATTATTAGGGAACTGCAAATCAAAACTATAATGAGATACCACTTCACACCCATTAGGATGGCTAATATCAAGTGCTGGAGAGGCTGTGGAGAAATTGGAATCCTTATGCACTGTTGGTAGGTACATAAAACAGTTTAACTGCTATGGAAAACAATGTGGCAGTTACTCAAAAAACTAAACATAGAATTACCATATGATCTAGCAATTCTACTTCCCTGTATATACCCAAAAGAATTGAAAGCAAGAACTCAAAGAGATCTTTGTATACCTGTGTTCATAGCATTATTCTCAATAGTGAAAACATGGAAGCACCAAGTGTCCATCCATGGATGAACTCATACATAAAATGTGGTATAAATATGCAATGGAATATCATTAAACCTTAAAAAGAAGGAAATTCTGACACATGCCTCAACATGAATGAACACTGAGGATATCATGTTAAATGAAATTAGCCAGCCACAAAACGACAAATATTATCTGATTCCACCTATATGAGGTACCTAAAGTCATCAAATTCATAGAGACAGAAAGTAGAATGGGGGCTGTCAGGGCTTGTGGGAAGGAAGGAATGGGGATTTACTGTTTCATGTGTACAGATTTTCAGGGCACTTGGGTGGCTCAGTTGGTTAAGCGTCTGACTCTTGATTTCGGCTCAGGTCATGATCTCAAGGTCGTGAGATCGAGCCCTGCAGGAGCCTGCTTGAGATTCTTTCTCTCTCTCTCTCTCTCTCTCCCTCTGCCCCTCCCCACCCCCCACACGCTCTAAATAAATAAAATCTTTAAACAGACTTTGCTAGGTTCCTCCCTGCCTACCTCACCTACTTCATATTACACTGTGCTTATCTATGGTTGATACCTATGTTCCTGGGGGCAGAACCCTTATCTAAATTCTTTTTGGCAATTGGGGGAAGGTCAAAGTTTCTTCCTGAACCTTCTGTTTCTTAAAAATAATGAGTCTAAAATAGTCCTCATGCCAAAGAGACACATTTTGGGTGGAAATTTTCTCCCTTACCTTATTCTGATCAACATTGGAATTCGGTGAGACGCGCATTCCATGGGCATGTACATCGGAAGGATATCCATAGCACATGTCTCTTGCATGGCTCCTTCTCATGACAGGCCAGGAAAGGTATAAGGGACAGAAAGTAAATCCCCAAGGAGCTGGGGCTAAGAATTTGGGGTTAACAAGGAGATGTGAATGCACTCCAAGTGGGTTGTTTTAATTAACTCACTTTGTTTACTTTATACACTAGAAATTAGGGCTTCCTAGTTTCCATGCCCATTTATATAAGACAGTCGGCAAATAAGGACATTCCCCTAGAGGCCTGGAAAGTTTCTCTTTATTTACTTCATTTTTGTTTCCTTCAGCATAAGGTTCCACAAAGGAAAGTTCCTGAGGTAAGTTAATGAAGTCTGTAGTTTCACAGAAAAAATGCAGAGAAAGTTACAGGTGTGTTAAGTGTCAGCGGAAAAATAATGAAAACAAATAACGGTATCAGGCAAGAGTGCAATTATTTAATGAGGGGCAGCCAGTGAGAGGCCTGGGCGAGGAGAAGCTCATACTCAGGTGGGATCACATCTTTTTATTTATTTTTTTAAGATTTATTTGTTTATTTATTTATTTTTTTTTTTTGAGAGAGAGAGAGAGCATGAGCAAGGGGGATCTTGGTCAATGTCAGCTCTTCCCCAGCCCCATGTAGGATCCCATGAAACCACCTCTAAATGTCCACTGCACCCCACTCCAGGCTTCTTCATCTGTAAGGGTTTCTATAATTGTCTACTTGCTGGGCTTTCTTGCACCCTTCAATCCACTTCCCATACCACAGACTACTAGTAATCCAACAATCTTTCCAAAAGAGAAATCTGCTCATGGCATTCCCCTGCCTCCAGGGGATCCCCACTAATGCCTTAGGAAAATACCCAGCCTACCTGGCCTTGCCCTGCCCTCCTTTCCACCTTCAGATCTACAGCCCATCCATGTTGGATCCTTCTCTGTTTCTTAAATGAACCCATCTCTTCAGCTCTGGGCCTTCACTCATGCTGTTGTCTCTGCTTGGAACACCTCTGACTGTTTCACTTCCCAGGACACACTTCTCCTTGCTCTGTGCCTGGTGGAACCAGACTCATGCTTCAAGTCTCAGCTTAAAAGTCAATGTCTCTACATCAAAAACTAATGATGTAATGTATGGTGATTAACATAACATAATCATAATTAAAAGAAAAGTCAATGTCTCTAGAAAAGATTTCCCAAAGGTCCTGTAACCCTCATTCGGTTGGGTTCTTAGGACACATACTTCCTTCAGCATGAATTTACTCATGGGACAGGGGTCGTATCTAGCACGCACATCTGTTTTCCAAGTGCTGGGAAGATGGCAAGTTCTGCAGATCTTTAAATGAATGGCTCTTTGGGGCGGTTCTACTAGCACCTATGGTTCCCTTTAACTGCTGTTCACCGGGGCTGCTATACACAGCTCTCAGCTGCTTGATGCACCGAGAACACCGCAGCCTCTGAAACCCAGGAGCTGGACCCATGGCCTTCCAAATTCTACTTAATCTATTGCTCACTTCATTAATACTTTGAAGATGCCAATAATCCTGTTCCTCAGTTCCCCCAGAGAGCAATTTTATATGTCCTTCTAGAGCTGTCTGCCGTGTCAATCTACGTGAGTCAGGCTGGGCAGGCACAGATTGGCAGCCCCCAAATTAATGTTGTATAGTTTTCTCCTCCTAATTTCTTGTAGCATCCAATGGTTATCATAAAATTCGTAATTTCTGTGTCTTATCAGTACAGCAACAGTGGAAGTCTGTAGGTTAGGGACTAGTAGATAACAGGGGGTTTGGTGGGGTTTCTGCATATAATTCTAAGTGCTAACACTCATGCCGTATCTCCCTAGCCCAGCAGAATAATAGAATTAAAGGACCCTCTGGCCCCATATTTTCATGCCGACTTCCCACAGAAGCATGTAAGATGGTCACAGTTGCATCTGAGGCCAGAAGACAAACACAACCTGGATTCACATTTTGTCAATAAATTCAACAAGTTAGCCGACTTCCTACAATGAAAATGCCTGCAACAATGGCTGGGACCTGGTGATTCTTTAAGGTAGGGGACTGAGCCTACCGTTGCCTTTGCAACGCACCCCCACGTCACCCCTCTGCTCACCAGCCCTCCCAAGCTTCGTACTCCTCCCTGCAAAGTGCTCCCAGTCACACGTGAGCAATGGCACGTCGAAGACACCCGCCAGCTTTAAGGTACAAAGATGACTCTTGGACCTTCTCGGTTTTCTACCATCTGATCGTTCTTTGCTACTTTGTTGCCCTTCTTGCCCCTTAGATGGGGGCACTGCCCCTGCATTCACTTTCCACTTCTCTCTGTCTCTCCCTCTCTCCCTGTCTCCCCCTTCACCCCTCGTCTCTCCCCCCCTTCCCCCTCCCTCTCTCCTCCTCCCTCTCTCTCCCCCCCACTCCCTCTCTCCCCCCCCTTCCCTCTCTCTCTCTCTTCAGCAACCTCATGCCACCAGGAGGGTTCACTCCCTGGATCTCCACTGTACCACGTCTCTTGGGAAGGCCAGGTCTGAATGTCCAAACTGAAGTTCTTCTAGGCAAGTGGTTCTCAACCTTGGCTGAAGATTAGAATTGCCGTGGGGGCTTTAAAAATCCCAATGCTCAGGACATATCCCAAACCAATTAAGCCAGAATGGGACCCAGACATGGGATTTTAAATGGAGTCTCTTACGTATACCCCCAAACTATTTTTCTCCTTCTCTTAGTGCAACCACCCTCTTCCCAGTCCAACAGCCCCAAATTCATAGAATTGTCCTTGATTTTTCTTTCTCATTTGCCCATGGCGTGCCAATTAATCCATAAAACTTGTCCTGTTCCTTCCACAGTGTGTCGCAGGGCTGCCCTCCATCCTGCGGGTACCGAGGTATCATTCTTCAGGTTGGTATTATTTCTAATTTCTGCAACAGGCATTCTGGTTGAACAGGAGCTGAGGTTCGCACAAGAGGCATGGGGAGGGCAGCTGGCCATGTCCCCTCCCCGCTCCTCGGCTTTCACCTGTTTCCAGTCTGCATCCTGGGTGACCCGGGCTCCAAATGCTGATAATAAGGGGGGGGGCGGTTGTGTGGCATCTTTATATTTATTTCTTATATTAATTTACCCGGGTGCTAAGGAGTACTTCTGTGGAAAATGGGCCTGGGATTCTGATCTCAAGATTCAAAGTTGTGCAACTATGGTGCATCTAGATGGCCCCAGGTGAAGGTTGTATTTATACCCAGGAAGGAGTGAGTAACAGGGGCTCTGGGCAGGAATTCACCATAAGGCACCATAAGGCTGATCTGGGAACTCAGCTCCATGCATCTCTCTGGCAGTTTTTAATGTGTTCTGGAGGTAACATATCTGTATGTATAGTACATGTGTAAGTGTGATTGTAAATGGATGCACAAATTTAGAGGATTGCTATACCAGAGGGCCCAGGCAGCTTCGATGTGGGAGCTCACCTGAGTGAGCATAGTATAGAGGAAAGGAATGATCTCTTGTGCTTCATAGGAAGGGCAATTGAGGAACGACTTTTCAAATACCTCCCCCACTGCTGGGTGATAGCTGCGTATCTGCATGACACTTGTCCTCGGCATGCAATGCCTTACCCACTAGCAGAGACACCTGTGGCACCCGCAGTCTTCTGGTCTACCAAGCACAAGGCGGTGGGCCACTGCAGGCCAGCCCAGGGCTGTTGCAGTGACCGGTAACATCATTCTACTGACACAGGGCACTAGTGGGCAACAGCAGGGTGGGTCAGCAATGGGGGCAGCAAGCTGCACTGAAAGCAGAGCCGGGCAGAGACGGTGGGCACAGGAGGCTAAGTATCGTCACCTTTCGTAGGAGGCTAGGTATCGTCACCATATGTCACCAAGTGGACAACATGGGCAGCTTATTAAGACTCTTAGAGAAGAGGGTCCTGGAGGCCTGGGCCACCTGCAGCCGGGGCAAGGCTGCTCTGAGCACCCAGATGCGGGCTGACCCTGGAGCTATGACACAACCATGGACAAAGAATAGGTCAATGGGGATTAAATCCCATGGTAAGACTATTCCGGCTAACTTTTATTTGTGTGTTATTTTACTCTATTTTGCTTCGCACGTCTTGCTGCTCCAATCCTTTTTAAGCAGCATTGTCAAGACAGCCTTTTGCCAACAAAATCCTCCCGCCATGTTATTTGTAGCTCTCACTTCCCCTCCCTGCTGTAGAAACAAATAGCAACAACAAAACCTCATGTTGTCTACACTGTGTCTAACCTCTAGCCTGTCGGCCGCCAGCCTCTGAAGGTAGGGAGTTCGAGGACCACTTCCTCTTAGCCTCAGTCACCTGCAGGTCTGGCGACAGTGAGGTGCTGGCCACTGCTCTGTTGTGATCTGTGCTCACTTGGCCATGGGACCATGCTCTGTTGTTCACTTTCTCTCACTTTCCTTACTGCAATCCACCAATCCTTCTGGGCCGGGATCCAACGCGCACCTTTCCTGAAGCCCTTCCCGCGCCACCCAGCCGGATGTAACCGCTTCCTCCTCTGCATTCCTGGGGCTCCTTATATTTGCTAAATGTCATCCCTATCCCATCTTGTATTCTTAAAATGCACGGCTCATTCGCCTCTTATTAAGTACAAACCCCCCATCGGCGGGGGCTTGGCCTGATAGCACTTGGCTTTTCCCAGCAAGACCAGCCCTGTGTTAGGGGAAATATCTGTTCAATAAAAGAGTGAATCAGAGCCAGCTGTAGGAAGGTTTCTGTTTTCCTGCTCCTCACCAAGACCTCAGAGAGAGCGAGGTGATGTGTTTAGGGGTGAGAGAGATGGGAGCAGGGAGCAAGTTACTGTATTTATAGGTGAGTCATGCTTTCCAAAGGAAATGAAAGATTTGCAGTTATTACTATTTTACGGAGCTTTATTTTCCCACTTACGGGCCAGCCCTCCAATTCTGCAATCTGAAAAATCACAAAAATCAAGTGCCACATGCGAGGCAGTCCCCATGGTCTTGGTGGCTAATTTTAGGTCGTTGTAACGTGGTTTCGGCTGGGCAGTGCTTCTCCAGCTCAGAGTTACTGCCATTTTTCTGACTCATGTTTGTTTCTCACGCTCACTCTCACTCTGGCCTCGGCCCATATTCTTTACCTCATTCCTGCTAGGCTGTTTCCCTATTTGACCATCCAAACTGGCATGCCTAACAGCTGGCCCACGGCCACTTCCCTAAAACATCTCCACGGATATGCACAGTTTGTGGAACTTCGTTGCTGGCCATCTGTGGCTGTGAGGGCCCATGGGCGCCAAAGCCTTGCAGAAAGGTAGAGACAACAAGCAGCAGAGTGTGAGCTCCCACAGCTGGGATGGATGGGCAGAGGTAAGGAAGCTTCAGTTCGTGGGGCAGCATAGAGGAGTAGTTGCTTTGTTCTAACAAAAATGAAGACTAAGGCGCCAAATGCTGATTTAGGACTTCATCGAGGATAAAGAGTTCCAAATTCCAAACCACTTCAGCTCCCCACGGGGGCCCACCCAGTCACGTTCCTGCTGGTGACAGGTCTCTGCCCCTCCTCCCTTGCTCTTTGTATCTATAACTTTAATGTCCAATTCAAGCACAGAGCTGGGAACCATGACATCATGGAAGTTTATTGACCATAGAAATGAGGTTAAGCTTTTCTGCATACTACATCCCCCCCCACCGCCACATTTCGCAGAGTGTGTTTTGCACAAACGTGGAGCTGAACCAATACCTAGCCCTGTGGATACTGTGGAAAATGAACTGCATTTGGAAATAGGAGCCCTGAGTGTAAGTCCCAGTGCTGATTTTCCCCAGCCCTGTGACCTTGGGCATGTCATTTCCTCTGCTGAGGCTAGGCCTCCAGTGCTGGATGACCTCCACGTCACCTCCACCACTCACCCTCTCTCTTTCCATTTGCAGATTGACTGATACTGTCATCAGCTGGCTAACATCAATTCTCCCGAGTTAGCACAAATGCCACTAACTGGCATCCCGATCTTGTTCCTCTTTAATTGCCACAATTCATCCAGAGTCCAGTCATCTTTCTTACACAAGCCACATTGTATCTCTCCTCCGCTGAAAACTTTCCCACAGACAAGCCCTCAGGTTCAAAGTCTGGACTCACTGATATGAATTGATGATCCAGATTTTCTCTGTCTTCCAGGTCAACCCTCTCCTCAGCAACTCCAGCCCTTTGCAGATGCTGTTCCCTCTGCCTAAAGGTCTTTTACATGTCTCTTTTGACTTACTCTTACTCATTCTTTGGGTCTCAGCTTAGACATCAATTTCCTTCGGAAGCTAGCTCAAAACATCCCTCCTGGGCACCCACAGCACCCTGCGCTTCCCCCTCATTCTGTCGTCCCTTTATTTGGGCACTTCCTTCTCTCTCAAACAGTCCCTAAAGGTGGCATGGTGACTTTTCCATCACTGTATCCTCACTCACTTAGCACAGTGCCCAGAGCTGATGAATAATTGAATGGACACAGGATGCATTCATACAGGACCCCCACCTCATTGCACCTCCTCTCTCCAACCCCCCAATTCCCTGCATGGTCTGATCACGTGTCCAGGCACTGACAAGCTAAGCCCTATTCACCACTGCTTCTCATCTTTATGTCCACCACAATTTTTCCCCAAAATACCAGGGGCTTTTGTGGGCTTTTACCTTCTTGGTCTCTGAAGATAAAAAGGCAACAGTCAGATGTGACAGTCGACGACCAACTTCCAAGTCCTTAGGTAGAAAAAGTTAACAGACTGGGTGCCTGGGTGGCTCAGTTGGTTAAGCATCTGCCTTCAGCTCAGGTCATGATCTCAGGGTCCTGGGATTGAGTCCCACGTTGGGCTCTCTGCTCATCGGGGAGTCTACTTTTCCCTTTGCCCATACCCCCACTCGTGCTTTCTCTCTCTCTTTCTCTCTCTCTGTCTCTCTCCCTCTCACAAAAATAAATAAATGAAATCTTTAAAAAAAGAAAAGAAAAAGTTAACAGACCAAAAAATGCTGCCTTATATACTAACTCCAAAAGTTACACTCCGTAAGGAAGACCAAATCAGATGGAAGTCCACACAAGAAACAAAAGTATGGAAATTCATATCCATAATCAGCCAGACACCACCTTGCTTCTGCTCCACATGTAACAATAGGAAAAAGATACCTTGATGTATACATGCTCTTACCCAACCCCAGCTTCCAGATATTCTATCTTTAAGGATTTATTCCTTTGGGTTAAGCCAGGTATGGCAAATACATGGCACATATCCTGCCATTCTCTATTCTTATGCTCTTGGCAGATACTGCTAACGGATGACAAAACCCTTTTCTGGTCGGGTCTCAGAATCCTTCTCAATACTATGCTCCAGACATCAACTGCCAGTAGGTTCCCAACTATCACCTACTCTCTAAAAGTGTCCTTTGTGTAAAAACACAAAGGCCCCAGACTGGAGAACAGCATAGATGACTGGAATCTTGGGGTAGATTTACGGAGCAAATGCTTTCTTTCTTCCAGAGAGGAGAAGCAAGAAAGATTTGGGGCACTCGGGGAAGGAGAAGTGCAGAAGGGTGGGAGGTGCCTACCTTGCAGGAGGAGGAGAAAAGGCAAGGGAAGAGCCATGAACGGAGTTCTGGGCACAAAGCTTATGGGCTCTGAAACAAAGGATGGTGAAAGCCAATGAAACAAGCACTGAGAGAGCCCAAGTTTTTTGGATTGTGTTCTCTTTCTGGCTTCCATCTCTAGCAGAGCCCTATACTGAGTTAAACTTCCCCCAGATAGGGAGGGTTTGGGGGATGACCCAGATTGTCAGATGGGAACAGTTGATGTAAGTCTAGACTGGAGAAGGAACATCATGATTAGCTTCCACCTGCAGGTATTATGCTTGGCATACTCTTATCAGTAGAGCAAGAGAATGGCAGTGGATCAGAAGGTGACAGAATGGGGGTTTCCAATCATCGGGTGGAAGGCCAAGCCTTTTCCTTTGATTACAGACCACTGAGCGGCACTTCTGAGTATTGGTGTCACCAGGTGGTTGAATAATGAAATCTAGGCCAGCTACTTGAATTACCTCTCATGCCTCAAACGAGGCTGTTCTGCAAGCCCCCGGGCAATTACCCAAATGCCCTGTAGGAGTTCTAGTGCCAGATGTTGATGCAAATGAACCCATAAAAATACAGGCAACAGGAATGGGCCAAACCTAGCATGCTCAACCAGTCAAATGCCTTTTTTAGATGGAATATATTTGGATGCGTCAGATCATTCAGCCATCTAAACATATCATTTTTTTTATTTTTTAATTTTTTCCCATATTATTTTTTAATTTAAATTCAATTAATTAATACAATGGTGTATTATTAGTTTCAAAAGTAGAGTTCAGCGATTCATCAGTTGCACATAACACCCAATGCTCATTAAGTCATGTACCCTCCTTAATGTCTATCACTCAGTTAGCCCATCCCCCCTACCCTCTCCCCTCCAGCAACCCTCAGTTTGTTTTCTATGATTAAGAGTCTCTTATGGTTTTTCTCCCTCTCTGGTTTCATCTTGTTTTATTTTTCCCTCCCTTCTCCTATGATCCTCTGTTTTGTTTCTTACATTCCACATAGGCATGAGATCATATGATAATTGTCTTTCTCTGATTGACTTATTTTGCTTAGCATAATACCCTCTAGTTCCATCCACCTTGTTGCAATTGGCAAGATTTCAGTCTTTTTGTTGGTGGAGTAATATTCCATTGTATATCTATACCACATCTTTATCCATTCATCTGTCGATGAATGGGCTCTTTCCATAGCTTGGCTATTTGGCCATTGCTGCTATAAACATTCAAATATTTTATTTGCAAATGGAACCAATGATCAATATTTTCTGGGGGAAAGTAACAACTGTAGCTTTGCAATGATGACTTATTCATGAGAGGGAGAGAGGAGCTCCTGACTTGCTGCCTGTGCATGCACACCTGTGGACCCTTGTGCATGTGATGCTTCCATGGCATCAACATCAAACAATACAAATCTCTCCTACCTAAAAATTTAGTGATGGTTAAATCCCTGTTAGCCCAAGATAAAGGAACTCCTAGAGTATCCCTCCTAGTCCTGAAGGAAAAAGTCTAAGTAGATTTTCTCTCCGCAATTCTTACCTGCTGATGTATGCAAGGCTAGCAAGAGCCAACAAGGTGAGACCTTTCTTCCTCTGTGGATAGCAATGCGGCCTGAGGATGACTTCAGCCAGTGTGAAGGGTAGTATGGATGTGTGCTGGAGGAGAGAAAATGGTAAATCATAATGTCAGGCTGCCCCAGCTGCCTGGCATGCCCCTAATTCTCTCTTTCCTCTCCAGTCTACATTCTTATGCAATTATTAGATGAAACTTCCCCTAACTTGGCTTAGATCATGCTCCTTAGATGCCCCAGGGCCTGCAGTGGCTCCCTGTTACCTTCCATGCTGGCCCACACTCCTTTGTTTGGCCACCAAGTCTCTTGGTAATGTGCTACGCTCCTCTCTGCTCCTGCTAATTGTTCTCCTCTTCCCCCCCCTCACACTTACACACCCACCCTTACACACACACTCCTCCCCTAAAACAAGGCTGTTTCCCTTCATCTCCCTTTGTACGCAGTAGGCTCACTCCCACCCTCACACTTTTGTTCATGCCTCAGTGCTCTGTGTGGAATGTCTTCTCTCCCTGTATTCGAATCATTCATGTTCTTCACAGCCAACACAATCTTCCACGGCGCTGTCCCTGCATTTTCCTCTTGCTAATTTCTCTCGCTCAGTCCGACTGCATTTCTATCCTGTGCCATGTAGTCTAGCACTTATGATGTGTGTTTGGAAGATCTGGGGGTGGGGTGAGCAGAGAACACTGCTTACTGGGAACATCTAATAGTGTTAGTATTTTATAGTTTTTACATTTGCAGCTGTCATTCTTCTTTCATCCTGGCCCCTCTTTTCCTCAGCTCTTGGCAGCCTCTTGCATCTCTAGCCTCCACCTGTGAACTGCATCCCGTTCCCATTCCTGAGCCCCCGGGCAGCTGTGTCAGCACCTCATTTACCATAGTCGTTGGGGCTTAGAAATGTCACAGAGCCTGCGTCTCCGTGCTCCCGTGCCCAGCTTTGTTGCTGGGGCCCTGGGTGCTAGCCCTGGGTGGCCTGTGCTGTCAGTCACATCAGTGTTGTGCTCAAAGGCATCCCCAGGGGACCACAGCTTCTCACTTGACCTGAGCTAGCTAGGGGATAGTCAGGAGATCAAGACCCTCAGATGACAAGAAACGTGGCCAGTTTTTATGGGGCAGGGGTGGAATGAGAAGGAACGAATCTTAATAGGGCACTGCTGGCCTGAGAGGGTCTCCTGAGGCCCCAACAGGGCGGCAAGTGGGTGGCACAAAGCAGTGAGGCTTCTTACAGGCCCCAGGTACCCACATTTTAGTAGCAAAGCTTAGAGGAACAGCATTGCAGACAAACCATGGCTTTTATAGACTTTGTCCAAGATTGGTCCCGAACACACCAATGTTGCATGGTATGGTACCAATGTCCATGGGTTGCATGTACAAGTGGCAAGACATGTAGGTCAGTTGGCACATCCTGCACCTTTCTGTGGTCTGATTTTAGGCTACAGTTTCTGTGTCTCTCGCTCTAATAAAGGGGCATAGTGGTTAAGGGCACACACTTTCAAATCTGAGCTTGGACTTGTTGCTGAATCTGCTTGAACTTCAGCTTCCCCTGTTATCCAATGCGGGATAGTCCCCATGTCATGGAGAGTACAGCTCTGAGGACTGAGATTAGAGTATGGAAAGGCCCCTTAGTCCTCGGCCCCTGAGAGCTGCCAGTGAGCATTAGCTGTGATTGTCACGATTATCACTGGGATTATGTCCTTCATCTCCTCTGTGGACCTGGAGTGGGGTGAAGCAAGGTTCGAGGATGTCCACAGTGCCAGGTGCTCGGATGCGGGCAGCTAAGCAGCTGAAGCAGGGTCTCAGAGCCCCCGCGTGGCCGCCCCGTGGCTCCCTCCCCAGCCCACCGCTGCTGCCCACGCTCCCAGCCGCACTGCCTCAGAGCCCTGGCGACGCCCGGCGACGGACATCAGTGCCCTTTTCACCCAGAGGCCACCTCGGGAGGCGAGTGATGGGGCTGCCTGCCCAGCACGGTCACCTGCCTCTCCACCTTGCCTTCACTCTGCTACAACCGGGAAGATCCAGCTTCTACTAGAAGGCATTAACAGTCCCATTATCCTGGCCATTGATCTGATGGATTTTATTAACCCTGCCCATAGTCAGCAGCTTCAGATCTCTCCATTAATGATCATTGGGAACAGAATTCCTGTGGAATAATGTAGTGTGTTCACATTAGGAGCAAATGAGTTCAGGGTGATTAATGCTTTTACAACAAATAACTCAGGAATGCATGACTAGTCACCTCTTCTAGAAGCCTGCCCTTTGCAAGTGACATTCATTTGGATTTCCAAATGAGTTCTCCCTGATGACTTCTGGGAAGTTTACTTCAGTGATGTCATTAGTGACGGGCCATATACTGTGGCTTAATACCAGCTAAAAGGTCTTTAAAAGAACCACATTTTTTCGTCGGGGCTGGGGGTAGGAGGAAGACCACAGTCTGTGAACCTTCTAAACACCGGGCTAGTGTGAAGAGCCAAGCGTAACACATTAAACCTCTTGGTATTTCAAATGTGCTGGTATTTTACCTCATGTTCATATCAATTGTATAACTTTTGTCAAGCTGCACGTATTTTTTTTTTAAAAAAGGAAGAAAAATCAGTAAGAGAAAAATAAAATATGCTTTCTGCTTCCAAAAAATCTAATAATTAGGCTGGGATTGACACAAATTAGAATGCTGCCAAAAATTACTGAAAACAGTGACTCATTCTGTATTTCAATTAACAGTTTCTCAGTTTCCCTTATAAACAGTGAAGCTGACAAAAATTAATTATCTCAGAGGGGGTAAAATATTTCCTTCCAGAGTAAACAAAACATCACAGGCTGAAACAATAGTATGTGTGAACAGAGACGATGGAATCAAATTATCTTTCCTTGTCAATTAGCCATCATTTTGGGAGATTTTTCTTCAAATATCTCATTCCAGATGCATTGGTTAAAAGGACAGTGTTGCTCTTTTCCCATCCTTTTCTACTAAATCATGCCTTTTCCTCCTGTCCTTGGTGTAATGCCTACCTCCATCTGAATACCTTGGAGATGGAACTCTAAGCATGAAGAAGTGATTTAAGTATTAGTATAGTCGTGCACTTTCGATTCCCTGGTTGAAAAATAGCCTTGTGCATAAGCACTGAAATTTAGCAGCCCGCAGAGCATTCTTACAAGGTCACTTGAGGGGTGACGTGAACCATAATGAGCACTTATTTTTACTCGCCTCGTACTAGTAGGGACGTAGCTGTTAGAAACAGCCTCCCTGGTTTGAGGCTAAATGTACCAGGGGATGCATTTTCCTGATTCTTGTGAAAGAGGCAAGCCGTAATCCCTGAGATAACCCATGGAGCCAACAGGTTTTCATCACTGTCATGAAGCCTCCAAAGACTAAATCCATAAGCTTAGGATGGTCACATTCTTATCTCTAAGATCCTCTGGGGGCCAAGAGCACTTAATTTCCTCCAGTGAAAGAAATTCAGGAGCCTCTACATCTTAAAAATCAGATAATAACATTTAAAAATATGATCTCTGTCTCTTTCCTCGATTTCGTTTCCTTGTCAGACTAGCCCTTGTGTTGCTTTGAGTTGACCAAGAGAAACGATCCAGCATCGGCCTTCTTGGACTGATCATGGAGAGGTTTTTCTCCTTGAGATGCTGTTTCTCATAAGGACCTTACACAATATCGTCCACTTTGCGTTCGGGTCTCAAACTTCGTTTCCCTCCCTCTGTTCAGGCAGTGCTTACATTTGAGAATCAATTCCTTACATTGACGTTTTCCAAACTGAGGTCCTTTTCCCCAAGTCTCTAAGACAATATTTTCGGTTTGTTTATGGTACTAATGGATAGATATTTTAAAATAAAATTTTATTACACTGGCAAAATCTCATTTCTGAGGACATGAAGGGTAATTTTTACTTACTATACCTGGAATATAACACTTTATGTGTTAAAAAAAAAAAAAAGAAAGAAAGAAAGAAAGCCTTTACGAAATCTCTTCAGGTGCAAACACATGGCCAAAACATCAATTAAAACTTAAATGTAAATACAACAACATAAAAAGGAGGCAAAACAAACCTTAATAGAATGCTATTATACTCAGGCTTGTTAATACACTGCTGGATCGTGTTCCTTAAGCTTGAAAACTACATGTGGTAAAAACACACAGTAATAATTGTTTTGTAATTCCTAATAAGGCGATCTCTGATTTCGGTAACTACCATTCATTTGCCCGCTAAAACCTTGTATCTCATTCCTCACCACTGCCGTTTCTGCCTCTAAAACCCACAGGCTGGGACAATAGCGAAGGTCTTCCTGGGAATATTCTGTATCCAAAAGCAGAAACCATCTGTATTCTTTATGAACCCCTATGTTGTTACAGTTACATTTTTGCTTTAAGTCCATCTGATACTCGGAAATCCAGAAATGTAGACATGGGCTATATTGGTTATACATCTGGGGACAACTTTTTTCTTTTTCTATAAATTTTTCCACCTACACTACCTGCAGGAGTCTTTTCGGCCTCAAATACCAGAGTTTAGAAGACACAGTGATTGGATTTGTAAAAATTCCCTTTTCCACTTTCTCGAAACTCTAGTGCACAGGCTAGGCACCACTATAATTAAAGAGTCAATGTTTAAATGTCTGGGGAGGGGGATTGGGAAGATAAACCACCCACAGAAAGACCCACAGGCTTCCCTTTGATCTTTACAGTCTACCTAGGCAGGCTGACACAGCCCAGCTTGGTAAAAATTCAGAAAACGTTAAGTTAAAAACCAATAGTCTTATTTACCATGGAAGAATAGTACTGTTTGCAATTAACTCTGAAATACACCAAAAAGAAGATGAGCTGAGGGATGGGTAGATGCACAGATTCGAGATAAAGCAAATTCAGTTAACTATGAAGAGTAGGATCTAAGTGGCAGATAACACAGGTGGTCACTGTAACATTCTTTTGACTCTACTTGGTTTGAAAATTTTCGTAATAAAAGGTTGAGAGAAATGTGAATAGTCTTTACTGACCTGGAAAGGGAAGTAAACGCTCCATTGGGCTGAGGAAGGAAAGCAGGGTGTTACTTATGAACTCGTACATGAATTGAACCGGTGGTT